CCCCAAAACCCCAAAACCCCAAAACCCCAAAGGGAAAGAATAACAAATTTTAACTAATTATGAAATTAAGATTTATTAATATTTGAAATCATTACAGAAATCATCAGAAAATACTCTTGGAGAAAATAAAGTCTGGATAGTTCTCTAGTGATTACTGGCTTCATCCTGCTAGATCTCAGTGCCTCAGGCTTGGTCTTGCTATCTGAAGTTTTCTACTGAGTGAGCAATTGACGAGTCCCTAATTAGAGAGGGAAAACTTTAGGTCAAACTTAACTGCATTGCAAAGGTCAATCTTAGCATTAGCATTTTGTCTATCCTATCTCTAAGCACGCCGGTTTCTAAGTCCAACTCGGTTTATTGCATCTTAATCTAGTTTGAGTGTGGGTCTTTGTACTAGAATGTGAAGGCAATAATCCCAACACCAAGATCTTTTGAAAAGGATTATACAAACTGCAGATTGAAGTGGCTCAGTTGATTTGTTGGGTCAGTGCCATTTCTGTTGAAGTTAAGGCTGCTAATTATCAGTGTAGCACCAAAAACTGATCTAGCATCGCAGATATTGTTTATGTTTGTGCTCATTACTAGGTTGCCATCAATTTGATTCAATTTTAGCAGAATAGGAGAGTTCACCGTGATTAGAGTAACAACAATTCTGTTCAAGGTGAAGTCTGAAAATGTGCTAGTGGTATATTTCTCTCCATGCACTATACTTTCTTTTTATCTAGTTTATGCATTAATGTGCCATTATTTAACTTGCTTTTGCAAGATATATTCTTGTGCGCATATATAGTAAGCCTTGTCACGTATTTATAGATTTTGTTTATCATGTCTAGTATACTATGTAAGTTTTAAAATACTGTTTATAAAGTATCGCCAGAAATATTTGACCTCCATAACTTTTCTTTCTATGCAAAGTGAATGGTGAACAAATTGAGGAAAATGTCTACCCTACAGTCCTGCTTGCCTGATTTCGTAGAAATGCTCTCTCTTAGATATAAGATTTAATGTTTTTCATCAACCATGACTACTAGGAGCAAATTATTCTCCTGGGTACACTATATAAATTCTTCTAGGGATTTCTCATTCATGAAACTGTATTTATTAATTGTGAACCTATCATTCTTAAGAATAGTCTAGCCCTCAATCAATGAGTTGCTATTATGAAGGCCATGTTTTGCTTCTCCCTGTTTATTTGTTTTTGAATTTTCATAAACAACAATCTGATCAAACTATTCATCTTCACTCTAAGCTATCCTATATTCTGAATTGGTAGGTATTTCATTACTTTTATGGTTTGTTGGCTGCATCAAAAGATAAACCATATGGTAGCTTGTTAAAATACTTGCCAACTCTAAATAATGTTTTTAAACATAACATGTGCTTGAAGCTTAATCTTACTTTTCTCTCCTTATTTCAGAGTCCTAAAACTTTTCTTAAGACTTAGGTGCATATACTTCATCAGTATTCTCTTCTAATCTCAAGTGATTCTTTATCTGTAGATACTTAAAACAAATTTCTCTTACATATGTTTCAAACTGACTGGTAATTATTTTGCTGAGTTTTAATACTGTTATATTGTGTTTTCTAGCAGGCTAGAAATTCTCGCTCTACTTTGATAACCAGCGAATACAGCTAGTTTATCATTGTCAATTGTTTAGATTCTTAAAATTTTTAAATCTAAATTATTAAAATTACATTGTTAAAAGCATTAATATAAAATATTTCATAATTATCTTTTGTTTCATTTTTTCTATATTCAAAATATTTTTTAGTATGGGGTTTTGGGGTTTTGGGGTTTTGGGGTTTTGGGG